AAAAAAAAAAAAAAGGCATCTGACTTCATTTAATCATCCACAAAGCTTTTCACCCTGCACCCCGTGCCCCCAAACCAAAAAACCCGCTTCTAAACACCATTCCTTTTCCTCCAGTGCCTGTGGTCAGTCAGCCATTCCTGTAAGACAAGACTTTCTGCTTCTTGTCTACACGAACTGTGCCTCCCTGTTCTGTGTGTCAAAATACCACCAGTGGACTTGTAAATTTTCCAACAAAAAGATCCAGGCAAACATTTAATAAGACTAGGCTTATCCAAAACGAATTATCCAGTAAAAATAATGGTAGCCTCATTTCACTGAATTTTTTTTTTCACTGAATTTTTAGAGTTGGAAGGGACCATAGAGATCATCTAGTCCAACTCCCTGTTTTATTTTTAACTGTAACCATGGTAGCCATCTAGTTACTGTACATGAGTACATCCCCATCTCCACCAATTTCCCTCAGGAACTGTATCTGATGCCTGACCGGTGCCAGCCACACTTGATGCATTGCGTTGCCTTTGTCTAGAAAAACAAGTTCTCTTATCTAACAAACACACAGGTACAAAGCTCACTGGCTCTTCAGCAAGTTCTATGTTTTATCCCTTTTTTTTTCCACTTATCTGTAGTTCTTCCATTATTGTTTGCCAGAAATAGTTCAAAACCCTTGCACGCCACTGAATTCAGACTTAAGTTTTAATACCACTTGAATCTCTTCCCCACTGATTATTCCATGGTATAGCACATTTGTACTTGAGCAGTTTCTTAAAACTCCTCACTCCTGAGAGCACAGCTTCCTATTCTTGACTCAAGTGCACTAAACTCCCAGTTTTATTCCCTTTCCAGCTCTGTGATTTGCATTCTGCGATTCCAAACAGTTACTTCAACCTTAGAAAAAAAGGTAAAAATACCCACACTGTCTATTGCTGTCCTGTACTTGGCCTTCACTTTCTCTCTCCTATCCTCACACTGTGTTATATCCATGCCTTTTTGTATTTCTTCTCTTCTCACACAGCTGAAAAATCTTTCACTATTTTGTTTTCATCTTTTAGCAATCATCTGCTGGCAATTTTTACCCCCAAAGCCTCTAGTGATACCCAAATGCCCACAGAAGTCAACAACATGTTCTGATGACTGACAGAGCTGAGCCTTGGCCACATCAATCTGACCCCAGTGTCACCAATTCCAGTCTTGTGCCACTTCCTTAAGATGAAAAACAATTCAAGTAGGAACGAGGAGAAAACTCTCAGCCCCATATTTAAATAGACAATTTGTCCACGTTACAAGCTCTCAAACCCAGCTGGCTTTTTCTCACGAGCAGAAGGGAACCCTTGCTTTACCACAGCG